GTGGATGAAATTTGATTTCAGAATCGTTTCATGGTTAAGCAAACTGGGAGCAGATGAGTCGCGGAGGAGGCAGGAGAGGTATCGCACGTTGTTGTTTGAGGCGAGGACGGGTGTTCTGCGAACCAGAACATACAGAGCGAAGTACCAGGAAATGGATACAGTGTGCAGTGCTTGTGGAGAGGAGGACGAGACGGCTGAGCACTTGATACTCTACTGTAAAGGGCTATGCCTACCGAAGACAATATAGATTTAATAAAGTCATTGGGTTTTCGAGACAGCGAAGGAAGAGTGGACTTGAAGACAGTAGAGATTACCAAGCAAAGATTAAGTGAATAATGGCTGAAAGCGAGAGAAAACTAGGTATTTTCTTATTAACTGATGGCAAGGGGGTTTTATAACCTCACTTTCTTTTCAGTGCGGAGTGAATATAGTTTTCTCCTTTAAATATTCTAAGCTTAAATGGTAAAACAAAATGGCTAGATGGCGTAAGCTACCAACTGATTCAAAGGGATCAGCCAGATTCATCCATCCATCCATCCTCCATCCATCCAGGTCTTGAATAGTCCATTCCTCATTATCGGCTTTCCTTTGAGTAAGAAGTGATACCGGTGCTCGCCATTTTGGTTCCAGATTTTGGACGTCCTACATAAACGTGTATTTAAAACTGTGTACTTATCTCTTCGTCAATCTTCATTATAGAAGCCATGTCAACACGTCTGATTCTTTTTTTTTTTTTTGTCAGCTTAATCGAAGCGTCAAGAGCCTGGTCCTGTTTCCAGCGGTGCTTGACGGGGTCAATCGTGATCACTTTAGGCTCGCAGTTTTCACGAAGCTAGAGGTTACACGGAAGGATGATCAATCAAAAAAATATAAATAGATGCATAGAAAAAAAGAAGAAATAAAACAGAGCAGGGATACCGCTTATCTAAAACGCTCGTATAACTCACCCACAATGAATCAATCTTTTGTTGCAAAATAACAACATAAGACCTGCCCCTGGCGAAAATAAACCAATATAACGGTTGTGTATTAATGTCGCACTTTTACGAAAAATAAAACAGAAAGGTAGATGTAAACTATGTTTCATTTATGTTTTAATATACTTTTAATATCCCTAGTGTATTTTAATCTACTTTGGTTTGCTTAAATTTTAGTGGAGCCCTACAGATTCTAGGTTGCTTCCGCCGACATAGTCAAGCCACTATGCATACACAACGTATATTTTAATGTGTTTTTATTAAACTCAAAATATCCCCATTTCACAAGCATCCCTTTGTTTCATAAAAGGCGAAATTAATATACTTCCAGTCTTTCTTTTTGACAGAGGTGATAGCTTCCTTTCACTGTCTCATACTTCCACTACATGAGATGTCCCATGTGTCAGGAGGAATAGACCGCCCTATCAGGGCAGCAGCAGTTAGTCTTTGTTTGAATATATTTGTTAATTGAAATAAAAAAGAATCTGAAGGGCTAATAAAAATATATTTTCACTATATATTCACTTAATGTGCTTTATATGTGTATCTACTAGTTGGTATCCACGAAATCAAGGACACAGTATGAATAAATATTGTTTATGTGTGTGGTACGGCCTCTAAAAGACGCGCTCAAGCACATGCATTTCACGAGCTACACTAAGCGTGTCAGACAAATGATTATTGCACTTTTTATTTTCTTTACGTCCATAGCTGCAGGTACGGAAGTAATAAAAGGGGCTGTCAGCCTCATGCGAATAATTTATTCATTTTATGTCGGCCATATATTTAAGCTAATTTGGAAGTCAGACTGAGATTACGTTTGCTCTGGTAAATTCTGCCTAATTGCGAGCATGTGAAAAGTGAGAGGTGAGGAGAAGGGGGGGGGGGGGGAGGGGGAGGGCTTTGAAAACGAGTTGAGAAGTTAGATGAGACAATTTAAAAGGAGGTGTAGTTAACTTTTTGCCTGATTGTATGTAGGCCTATTAGGAGTAACCGCAGTGTGATTTGGGATAATGAGCAGTTTCATGGTCGATCTTGTCTTGTTGACCACTGACTGATGCACTCAAGTGTGATTTAGATTTTTTTTTTCTGTTCTCCGTATTTTGATTTCTTTTCGAGATGCCCCAACAATGGACGAGGGATTCAAGAAAATGCTTAAAATAGCTATTAAAGGGCTCATTGAAAGGTTTCTAACTTTACGAGCGTGCTTTGTTGTTGTGAGACTTTCAATTAGCTTATCAAGGCCTCGAAGGGGGAGCATTGATATAGAAACGGGGTTCGGCAAGCCGATAGAGACGCCATTTTGGATAACGACAGCTACGCCCTTTTCGGGTCGCGCACAAAAGCAGAATGATATAATCAAGGTTTTTAAAACGGGCCTTTAGAGCCCCCTAAAAAAAACTATGAGTTTTTTTTTTTTTTTTTCTATTTGCATGCTACGGCGAGGAGATGCTTTCAACTTCTCAGCCTTCGTCTTCCTCCCTATGGTCTCTTTGCGTGCGCAAGTTCATTGGTTTCCTTGATGCCTTTTGTTGGCTGCCCCCAGCTAAGGTTCGTTCGGTCGTTTATGACTCCCGCTTTAAATAGGGGCTCGGTTTTGCGGAAGTCGGTAACGTTTAACCCTATTACGATTGTTCCAATTCCGGTTGATTAGACCGCTGTCCTCCTCTCCTTCCTTCTATGATTCAGTGGCGTTGGTGCTGCGTCAGATTTCCCATTATGCCGATCGGTGCGAAGATCCGATTTGAGATTTGACGAAAATAGACTTCTGTCCTATTGCTTTCTTATTTCTTGAAACGGGAATGAATACTGCCGAGATCGTGCATAATGACCGCACCAAAGCAGGATCCCCTTTCAAGGAAATAGCAGTCGTTAGAGAAATTGCCCGGGTACCCTCTCGGTAAGGCGCGGCTTATAGAAGCAAATTTGTCGTCTTGGAAGTGTTTGTGCTAGCTAACGTCAATGCAACTCTTAATGTTCCTTTGGTTTCTTGATGATGTTTTTAATGGAGATACTATCGCAAAGTATTGCAGTAACGAGCTTACGAAAGCCTTTTCCTCTTCGTTCGTCGGTGCGATACTTGGCTGTGCCTAAAATGGCTACCAGTTTGCGACAGTCATTGACTGTTTCCATTGGAAAGCAGCACAAAACAACATTTTGGTGTACGGGATTTAACATCCTCGACAGTTAACGTAACTGAAGACACTCCCAAAGAACGTATTTATGCGAAGGTGCGTCGTTCAGCTCGTTGTCTGCTCAAGCTTTTGGTTGTCGACATTTGACAATGCGCGAACTTTTACTGGTTAATATGATGTAAAATGAATACGCGTTTCGGCACATTCTGATACAAGGATGGTGAAAATGGATGGCCGATTGCAACGTTAACATTAGTAAAAACTGCTTCAAAGTACGGCCATGACATGGCGGCCCTTAGCTCGGTTCACATAGCCTTGACGGGGATTATTTTGTCGGATAGCTTGGCGGCGGGTGTCTGCTGGTGGTCTGGTGTCTGTCTGGGTGGAGGTCAGTCAGTCTGGCTCATTTCCGCCAACTTTGCGGCGGAATGTCTTTTTGCCTTCCCTCTTTCCAGTCTGTGTGGACGGCTCTAAATTGTTGTTCCCTTGCGAATAAACTTAGCTGCGTTTTAAATTTTGTGTCGTCTTGCCTGTTAATTTATTTCCCATTGTCTAATGGTTTAGATTATGATGTTTCCTGACCAAATCGCCTGCATACTTTCGCTTCTTGTATGGTTCATGTTGTTTGTGTCATCATGTTTTATTCTTTTTTTTTTATTCGCTATGTAACCAACACGTTCCTGGGCACAGCCAGTTAAGGGAGTGAATAATGAATAAAATAACAAACTGCCTTAAAAACGCACAGCTCTCAACTTCAACGCTATTTATTTTCTCATTTCCGAATGTATTAAAGGGGCACTGACTCATCAAAATCATATTTTTTTTTTATTATCCGAAACGATTGAAAACGATGCCGGGACGCTACCCTCAAAATTTGAAATTTGGGAATTCAGTATTTGTGAAGTAAAAAAACAATTTCCAAATGCCGAATTCGAAGTTCCCGCGCGATCGGCGCCGGTGCCTTGACGTCAAAAATCGCGGAGACCTGAGAGTCGACTTCCTTTCACCACTCCCTGCTGTTGCCATGGCGACCCAAAGCGAGGAGGAAAGGAGTGAGCGGCGGCGTTACGGCGGACCGGTTGTGAGCGGTGTCGCCTGTTTTACGTTGGAGGATACAAATCCAGGAGACGGCACCACAACGAACTCCCGATTTTTGGTATTTCAAAAAGAAGGGCCGTAGTGCGTTCGCAATTGCGTTAGAAAACATGTTTTACGATTGCCGTTATTAAATGTTATAGAGATGTCGCCTACAAAGCTTCTAAATTTCCTGATTTTTGACGTCACCGATCAAAAGAAGCGAGGAGGCGAGAGGCGGGAAAATCAAACGCCAAAAATAAAAAGGCGCGCGCGCGCGCGGGAAAAGTTTTTTTCGCGATGCGGTTTTTTTTGCGTGTCTATGACTGCAACTTGCATCGTTTTAGACAATAAAAATAAATACGACCTTTGGGGTGTCAGTGCCCCTTTAAAGACGTGAGAGGAAGAACCTCATTCTAGCATATCCTCTCGTGTATATACCTGCAGAGTTTTGGCAATGTAGGGCTGGCATGTGATGTAAGACGCAGGGTTAGTATCAATATCGCCGGATTGCTTACAATCGTTGGTCTCTCCCAGACCGGGAACAGATAAATTTAGGTACAGATTCTGCCAGATAAAAAGCGAGCAACTCACTGCACACGTCTATCGGCTATTCCTGCATCTCTTTCGTCTTTTGTATATTTTGCGACTTTTTGCACATCTCCCTTTTCCCCACAGATATAAAATTATTCAGCCAATATTAAAAGGGACAATTTTTCGTAGAATGGTCGTGTTTAGTCGCACAAGCGTTTGTAAAATCAGTAGTGTAGCAGAAGACCGTGAACGTTTTTGGTATGTGTAAAAGTTATAGAAAATGTCACGATCGATTTGTCTGTGCGGAAATTTACAGGGTAGGTCTCCACACGGGTGGCACCACGCTTCAAGTTCCAGCACCCCTGAGAAAGAGAGGGGGAGCGAACACTCAACCCAATACATGCGTAGTGCAGGCCACAATCTAGGGTGATACAATTGTTACCACCACGCAAAGAACAAGCTGTACGGAGCTGAATTCGAAATTAAAGAGAGTATACAAACCAAATGGTTTGCAATTACCTGTCTAAAAACCTCGAGTTTTGCTGTCCAATATTTTTTTCTTGTCCACGCTTTTTTTATTATTATGTGCATGTTGTTACTTTCCTAGCCACAGCCAAGGTGTTTGCTACAACGTTCAGCGGCAAGTTAGAACAAAAACAGGACAGCGGTCGGAACTGGCAGCAAGAACTTGCGAGCCCTTGAAGCTATACAATGGCCTTTGATATTTCGCTAAGAGACTTAGCTTCTCCTGGGATAAAAAAGCCCTCACAGAAACGTCGGCTGCCACAGGCACACTCATACACCATACAAAGGACGCGGTGTTAGCTGCAGACATGATTATTTGCGGACATGCTTCAAGTGCGTTGGAAGCATGCTTGCTTCCTACATGCTTCAAAGATGTCTGCAGGCGATCAAGCCTCAGGCTGTCTTTGCAGACTGTCTTTTGTGCGATGGGGTACTATAGCACTGGTATCGCGGCTTAACGCTTCCGGGAGACTTCTTCCGAAGTTCAACTGTCATTTCCGTTGAGCGAACCACGTCATCCGGGACACGTCCTGAGCCGGCCCTCCTTCCTTGTGCGCAGGCGACGTGTCCTCGGTGGACATGGTGCAGGTGCTGCAGACGCAGTTCGCGCCTCTGGCCGAGGCCCTGTGCAAGGCCGTGTTCGACCTGACCTCGAGGGGCGACACGGCCACGCTGGACACTATCTCGGCCCAGCTGACGGCCGCCTTCCCGGCCATCGAGCGGCCGGGATCGGACGTCGTGTACCGGGCCCTGGGGGCCCTTATCCGGGAGAGGCGCCTCTACCACACGGGCGTCGGGTACCAGGTGAGCGACCAAAACCGTACCAAAATTTCACGTTCGTGTCTGGACAGCGTAAGGTCGGTCTGCCTTTGAGGTGTGGCGACTCTGGTTTGCGCTGTAGATGAAGAAATTAGCCAGTGCAGCAACGGGAATAACGCGCCCCGTTTCAGCTTAACTTGGAAAACGGCGAGAGCTACTGCCCCCGTGAGCCAATTAGAGCGACGAAGCGAGCCACGTGAGAGCTCTCTGCCAGAGGTTGCCATTTTAGTTTAAATTCAACACTCACAAAAAGCTAAGAAAAAAAAGGCATTCTTTGCTTTTTAGGTTTGCGACTAGAAGCAATCTCAAAACTGAAAAGACTGTGATGGCGCAGGCGAGCTTGTGTCGGTTTACCATTTTCTTAACCCACCTGACACTATATGTGGGGAACTAGAAGAACCAAAAGGGGAAGAGACAGGAACAGAAAGACAGAAGGCGTCGTCCTTCTAGTTCTCAAAACTCAGTCACCCTTGCGGCCGCATTCATCTTGAATCTCTCACCCGCGAACGCATGAACTAGAAAACTGATGAACTAGCAAAACTCATAAACGTATCAAACTCGTAAGCTCACAAAGTAATGCGTTCACCAAGCGCAGTAACTGCAGAATTCCCTGAACTTGAGAACTCACCGAATTCAAGCATCCACCGAACTTATGAAATCACCGAACTCGAGCATTCACCGAACTCATGTATTCACCGAACTCGCGAGCTCACTAAACATAAACTATAACTGAACGCATGCACTAACCGTGCTCAGAGTACTCATGAGCTCACCCAACCGGCCCAACTTGTGTACTAACCCAATTTTCGCCTCTCATCGACCTCACGCCCTTCACTCAACCCAAAACGTATGAATTTTCAAGCTTACCGACGCACTCCCCTCCCCCTCCCCCCCCCTTCCCCCCCCCCCCCACACACACACACGTACACACACACAGATACACGTCCGAGTGTGATTGAAGTGGCTGAATGGAATGCACTCCTTTGTGGAATTTGCCGAAGTATGAACTCTCCACGGGAGGAGCGCCGAACGTTGGTGCGCTGTCCCGTGCCTCGCTCGGACGTTCTGCCTGGCTCTTCAGGGCCGCTGCCTTTACCCTTTCCAATTTATACCCAACTAAAATATAGCACAAAGTCATCATTCCTGCAGCCTACCAAGGCTAAAGTGTAATGTACGTGAAAGACGCCAGACTCGCGATCGTACTGAATTGAGTAAATTTCTCATCTTGAGTGGAGACATCAATCAGACGCCTTTTGAGTCAAACTAACGTCCCACTGCCTAAACTTCCATACAACAAATCACTACCGTGCTGCAACACGAGCAGAGTCATGAACTGCGGGGTACTTTCTTCCTTCTGTATACGTTGAAACGATTGCGTTTGTCATACGTAAATCTTACAAATATGTTTTATGCTTTCTTAAAACGTGACACACTTTTCTTTCGTATTTTCGTTCGTGCGCGCATTCGTCGACAGTTTACCTTCTCGTGTAGTCTGCAGAAAGTTGAATTACAAAGAACCGATAATGTTTTGATTTAGAAAGTTTGGTGCGTCTTGGGAAGAGTCGGCGTTCTTGTTCTGCTCGTTTTTTAGGGTTCTTTCACTCTCCTGTCTCACTCCGTGTGCCGCAGTAATTCCATCTCTGCGCTCGCGACAAAATAGTGTCTACTTTTTTTACAGTGACGTTTTCGTTGTGTGTGCGTGTGTGCCCGTCCGTGTGTGTGTGCGTGCGTGCGTGTCTGCGTGTGGGTGTTTCTGTGTTTGCGCGCGTGTGTGCGAGGGTGTGTGCGTTATTTTTATGTTTTTTTTTTCGCCAATAGTATATACGTTTTAAAAACTTTGAGGACGCTTAAGCTTCGCCTTTAAGCGTGGAACGCGATAGCGAAACATATAAACTCCCGCTCGTTCTCAAGCCGTCCAAGCAACCGAAGGCTTGTGGGTTCGAATCCCGGCTAAAATTCTTCAAATTTTTCCTTAGGGCAAACTAATTACTTTATAAACTTGAAATCGTTTGAGACATGCGGCGCCTTTTCATTCGCATTCAGTGTCATGTTTTTTTAATCGCTTTCATTCCACGCGTGACGTCACGTTTTACGTGAGCGTTGTGAGTTGTTTGAAATTCTCGCGCGAGGTCACGTGGCTGTGACGTCATGACCCTATCGACCAATCCTAGATTTTAGCACACGCCACCGCCACCGGCTTTTCTGCGACACGAGCTCCTTAACGCTATCGCGTTAAAACGTTGTCTGTTTGGGTCTGTTTCGGTCTATAGACATGCACTGACCTATGACCACTGATAGCTTGCATGTTCTTCACGCTTCGTGCTTCGTGATTGGCTTCATGATTGGCTCTTCGGCTTTCTTATCAATTAATGCAGCGCTCTCATTGGCTGCGGAGCGACCAATGAGACCCGCCGCACACTCCCTTTCTTAATCTGTCGGTTACTGTAGTCTGTTGCTTGTAAACAAACACGTCGTGAGTGCTCTATTCAGCATAAAGAGATAGAAAGAAAGCGGAAGTCAGACATTCACTTTCGATAGCTAGGATAGCGTACATTATTTTATCGAATGGTCTAATTCCTCCCTTCTTTTCACTTGGAACGAGCAGCCCACCACAACGTCCTCGATTTCACAAAACCTAGAGAACCGACCGAGTTCTATTATTCTGTAGTTTTGTCTATTGACTCGGCGGTCTTAATGACGCAAGGTAAAAGTAAGTTCCAAGTTTTTCTCAACCACAGAGAGAGAAAGGGAGAGAGAGAACTGTGTGGTCTGTGAAAACGCTCGCTGTCTCCTGATCAAAAACGAAACCGTTTAGTTGGAGAAAACAAGAAAGCACATTTCACAACTCGGTGTCTTATTCAAATGAATGTCTGCCCGAAGAATAGGAAGGACGCCGTACGGTGGCTACATTCACGTCTTGCTCGTGCTCCTCGTCCTTGTCCTTGTTTTGTGTACTTTTTTTTGGAACGCGCCATAGAGCAAGACTGGCCGACTAACAAAAGATACATACTTCCTTGGCATTGGGTTGAGTTTGTTTTTCCGCACGGACTTTTCCTGTTCGCGTAAGCCGCTGAAACAGTACGCTTTATCCTCTCTGCACGCTTTCTCCAGCGATAAAACTTTGCGCTTTGTACTCGCTGCCTTTTTTTTTTTTTTTTTTTCTTGCGTTTCCACAAGACAAATTTGTGTATTCTGCTCTTCCGCATTATCTGTTGGTGGTTTGCCCTGTCCACCGAGTACGTGCGCCTCCTCTGACTTCGCGTTCGTAGTCATTTGCATTTCTTTTCTTTCCACCGATGTCTGTTTGCAGACACGACGAGATCATAACAATTGACCTTGAGCTAGTTCTAAGAACATCTTAAAAGCTGGAAGTCGCATTAAGCGTCAACCGAGAACGTCTCCCTAGACATATTGATTCTAAGAGGGAATTAACGAGACATCTCGATACCTTCGCGCCTATTACTAAATACCGTATTTACTCGAGTAATAGCCGCACTATTTATGAACAAGGCCCTTCCGTCTACTTTTCCCACAGGGAACACATATACAGCCAATCATTGCGTTGCGCATAAATAACATAGCGAATAACCAGATCCATACGAATTCAATCTTCACAGATGGTATCTTCGCGCGAAGACGTTATGTCTGTCCTGTAAACAGCTGGAATCATGCTGTCGATCGCGGTGATTGGCAATCTGCGTGCTCCGCGCAAAAAGCGAACTCTCAGGTTGTCTTCATAAAGGGTGCGGCTATTACTCGAGTAAATACGGTATGTTAAGTGAGATTGTAGGATGTCATGCGAACTAGTAAATACTTTGTGAGTGTAGGGAGAGGTGTGTCGTAAAACTAAAACTTGCCGGTGTACACTCCCCGCCTCTTTTCCCGAATCATCAGTGACGTTGGAGGCGATGTATTCTCGAGTGATTTCGAGTACTTACATCTCATTCCTTTGCATTATAATGAACACTCTGCGGCTATTTTCTTGCCGGAACCAAGATTCGCTGTGTGATATGAGGCAGCTTACAAGTAGATGCTAAAAACTACTAGGGCTTCCATCACAGCGTTTGCGACTGGTCTGGTGAGGTCGTTGAAAAATTAAAGGTACAACCACGAGTTCTGCGAATGCAATCATTTTCTTTTTAATGATTAGAGAACCGATTTTACAAACGCCTTTATATATCGACGTATATATTCTCATTTATTGTAATATGCATTGCGCGTGGAACATTTAGGAGTAGCTCGTCCCGAATCGTCTAAAAACTATAAACAAACACACACACGCACGGACGCACGTGTAGATAGAACCGAAAGTTATATGTACCTTTACTTTAGCATTGCAAGAGAAGAAAGAAAAAAAGAAGTTCTAAATGTTTGAGTAAATTGATATCCAGGCTTTTTTATTGTAGTAATTTGTGCTTTGAGCGTCTGTGCCACCAAAGGTTATTTGCAAACAATAAAAATACAATAAATTTCCCTTTATCGCGCGAATCCATCCTCTCCCCTCTACGCCTTCGGGCATTTCTAAAGTCTTAAGAATGAGGAACCCACAACATCAAAGGGCAAGCAGGGCATCCCAGGAGTGTGGAACCACGAGGCTTGTAATCTGGTCGCTCGTGAGCGCTTTAAGGTTAACCGAATCCGTCTCGCACCGTGAATAGCCTTCCCGTGGGGGGTCCAAAGTTCCCCGGACGAAGGTTAAGTTCAACGCAAAGAAAAACGACAGGTTTACAATAAAGGCGGGTCTGCGTGCGTAACACACTATACAATCACACACCATCGAAGCAGATAAAAAGGCTTATACGGGAAACCAGCGAGCACGAAATTAAGGAGCGAAGGAGGAGGGAAAAGGCCAGAACGAATTGTCTAACTATCGGCGTACACAAAATCCGGATGGAAGGAGCGAAAAAACGGGGGACCAGAGCAATGCGTCCTCACGACGGCGTGCACGGTTCAGCGCATCATCGGGCAGGTGGCTCGCCGGCCCAACGCTCCCTCCCGGCGTGCGCAGGTGGCGGCCCCGGACACGTTCCTGCAGACGTCGCCGTCGCCGGTGCCCACGGAGCGGCCCATGCTGCTCACCAACGAAGAGGCCATCTCGAGACTGCACGGCACGCCGCCGACGTCGGCGCCGCACACGACCGACGAGTCGGCGGCCGATGGCAGCACGCTCGAGCGCAGCGCCTCCATGAGGCTCCTGGGCACGCGGGACAGGGCCTCGGAGCCCGGCCTGGGCGCCAGGCTGAGCCGCAGCAGCTCGGTGCGGCTCTGCAGGACCACCGTCCAGGACAACCTGCTCATCACGCCGGCGGCCAGCAAGAGGGCCGGCCGTTCAGAGGCCAGCAACAAACGTGAGTGTCTGTCCCTTGGCCTTAGGCCACGGACCACACTGCTGATACATTATACGGAAGGCAGTCTGCAAACACTGTCTGAGGTGGGTTTTTTCCTTGTACGACGCCCCTGTCAAATTACTCGTAGAAAGACTGCTTTTAAACGTGTTCCAAGCACACATATATGGGGCAAACATGCTTCGAAAATGCTTCAGGCGTATCCGCAGATATTTCCTTCATTACGTCTGCGGCGACCACCGTGCCTTATGCATATGTTGTACGAGCAGTGTGACTGTTGCTCTAGTCTTCTAAGACAATGACCTGCAGGGGCTCTGCCGCAGTTCATCCCAGGTCACTCCCTTCCAAGACAGTTCATCCCGAACACTTCGTACCATTTTATTCCGGGATGTTTTATTTTCACACCTTTTCTTTTTTTAATCCCAGGGACGCTTAATACCGCGACATTTCGTGCCAGCAGAGCGTAACTTAGGATGATATATCTTTGGCATGAAGCATCTGGAATGAAGTGAGTCCGCCTGGCGGGAGAAGCTGCGTTGTTCCCGGATTCCCAGGGTGAGATGGGCATCACTACGCCACTTAGTACGGGCGATAATTTTCCTGGCATTACGCAGATGCAAGACCATTTGCCAACGTATAGTATCAGAATGCCTAATGCACAGATGATCCTAGATGCGTTAGGCATCAAAAGGAGCGTTGTTGGCGGTTCTCATGTTGCAAGAGACTATATGCTTAACCTCTCTTAGCTTCTCTTGCTTACAAGCCGAAGTTCTTGTCGAGTATTCTTTGAATAGACTTCAGAACAGGCTTACGAGTAAACAAACGCTGGCTATGCCTGGACCAAAGGGAATGTATGTTTGTGAGGCGCTCTTGGAAAGGTAAACGCGACCAGTATCAGGTGCTCACAGTCTGTGGGAGGTGCGCGAGTAACTTTGAAGTTCTTGGAAAACGAAGCACGAGTCATGATGCTGACCAGTTTTCATATATTGCAGCTGAACCTTCTCTGGTCTGCATTAGCAAACATGCAACCTGTACGGATTGGATGTTCATGACTCCGATGTGTCTACCACAAAGACGTGAATAGACCCTTTTCAAGAGTTCGCGCCAACGCCTGTCCGCCATTGCTTGCTCACACACTCTGAGCACGTAATGGACACGAGCGATGCGTCGGCGTTCGGCGTGAACTCGGATCCTATCACACGCTCGTGTCCAGGCAATGGCGACCGCCAAGGTTGCTCGACGGACTTTTGAAAAGGGTCTATTAACGAGGTCGACAGTTCAGTGCTGAAAACTAAAAGAAACTACACTATTCAGAGAGAGACTCACAAACATATTCCTACCCCGACCCTACCTGCTAATGCTCCTGTTTTTTTTTTTTTTGGTTTGTTTTGTGCTTTACTTTTTTTTTAGTCAATATGTGAGGTCTCGAGAGATGGCTAGAAATACAGTTTATCTAAATGCCATCGAACGTTTTTGTGCACTAATTAGGTTCCCAAAGTCGCATCAACCTTTCTAGCCTTTGGTTAGACTCCGTCGTTACGATCAATACTAATTACACATTAATTAGATGCACTGAGCTAAGAAACTCCGTATTTGATAGAACATATGTGCATTGCCGGAAAACATATCTTATAAAGTTTTACACATCCCCCAATACCTCTCTCGAAGACAGCCACCTGTTTTATGGCCCTCACGTAGAAAGACCAGGAAGACACAGGCGATACAAGCGGCCGTATTTGAGTTCTGGTGCTCCTGTAGCATCGGCGGCCGCTAAGAGGGCGGGCAGGTTCTTCTCTCGTCGACTGACCGAATTCGCACGCTTTCGCCGCCAATGCCGTGCAGCCGGGCCATCCGAAGGACGTTTGCAGTTCTTCTGACAGCCGGCATGGCCGCAGCAGTGGGCCACAAAGGGTTGGCCCGTCTATATTTAAACGGGAACTGGGCGTGAACGAAAGCAGACTTGTGTCAACAACTCGCACCGTTTGTTTCAACGCTGCGGTATAGGCCAACTGGCCGACCTGGAGCGCCAGAACGAACCTCCCAGGACGTGGCCACGTCCTGGAAGGCCCATCAGACAGAGTGCCACGTCTTAAAGATAGGATGTTGAGGACACACTTGTGTTAGTTCGTGATGCATCTCGAATAAAATAAAGCGAAAAAATAAAAACGAAGGACGAGTTAAAGAAACTGGACAGGCCAATCACTGACTTACAACTGGCTTTACTATGAAGAAAACATAAACCTACGTAATCTTAAACATGCCACTACACTGCTAACATCATCCAATTGCTTCAGTCTGCACAAGATATACGATCTCTTTTTCATATGACGCAATCAACGGTGCACAGACACGCTTGCCTTGCTCGTACTGTGTCATAAGGAATGCTTCTGTTATCTCTCGAGTCCTTTGGTTGGCCTATGACACAGTACGAGGAAGGCACGGATGGATGGGTGGATGGATGTTAATGGCTATACCTTTTGTAACGGGCGGTAGCTTTTGCCACCTAGCCTAAGTCTAAAAAGACAAGCATGATTCCTCTCACCCTTTTGAGCCAATCCCCCCCCCCCCTCCCTAACTATCACGAGGCGGTGATAGTTAGTGCACCGTCGATTGCGTTATATGAAAAAAAAAATCGCATATCTTGTGCAGAGTGAAGGAATAGGCCATATGCGAAATGTAAAGTGCCAACTAGTAGCGCGCCGAGGACTACGTCCGCCATCTTGTTAGTGGCGAGAAAACGAAGCCAGAGACCCGACGGGCAAAGACCCCATGTGAACAAGCGACCGCGCTTCGTGTGAGAGATGCGATGCCAACGATTGCTGCGTTCCGCTGCAGATGCAGCGATAAACCTTTGATTCGTGCATGACGTGAACGCAAACGTGAACAGAGTTCACCTTTCTCCCCTTATTTATATTTGTTATTTGAGAGGTAGCCTTTGACAAAAACAATCGATGACAACGCGAAGAAACATGCGGACGTTATCGCGCGGCGTGAAGGAATTTAGAACTATTGAGCTGGGCCCTAATCTTTTCAAGAAATTGAACCAAATTTGTTCATGACCTTGTTTTTTCTTGTATATGCGTTGTAGTGTCGGCCTGCCTTTTTCTTGATACGCAAGCAGCTCAATGCACGCGGACGAGACCAAGGCTGTTCAGCGAGGCAAAAAGATGGCAGTTTTAATAATCTACGCCACCAACCATAATTGACGTCGCGTATGGTTAACAGTTGTATGGTTAGGTTCATCACAGTGGCTAAAACTTTAATGTCGGCGGTGGCAAAAACTTACGTTGCGGACGTCGAATGAAGCAACACGGGGGGTGCCAACTTCATTTTACAACCTCCTTTCCTTTCTTTTTTCTTTTTGTCGCAGCCGAGGCAGAAATCTTGTTTTGTGCAAAGAAGTTCAGGGTTAGTTTTGAGAAAGTCGCTGCAGTTATTCTGTCAGGGTTGAACAAATCTTTATTAATAGCGCAACATCCGTCAACTGTGCTTGAGGTTAACGTTATCTGAAACCAATGCAACTCTTGAAAATTATTGCCCAGGGCAGAGTTTCTTTTAGAACACAGAGCGTTCCACCAAAAAAAACCTTCGCCAGTAACAAATAAAAAAAAAAGAACTAATTTTGAGTCATATATTTGCGTGGTGCAGTACACCACTAAACAGTATGACTTCAAGCGTATTCGCATCGAAAAAAGAATTAAAAGTGTTCTCAAAGATGAAAGGCAGGACGGCGTAGTCCTTTCGGAGGCCTGTGCACACGCTGGCGACAACACGCTTCCACAGAAAAGGCGTGGGACTTGGTCCGCTGCTTCGACAAGGTGGTCGCCAGCGTGTACAGGCCTCCGAGAGGTTTGTCAGACAGTTGTGGTATGTTGTTTAAACTGTTCGTCGACGTAATATGGTCAGAAGGCGGAAAACAGTTGCTGCGCCATCGCACATTGCCCGTACGGCTGCCGCCGATGCCTCCACCGTGCTTCAGTACCGACAACGCATGCCAACATTAAAATGTCGACGTTCTCAGTGTTGTCAGATCACAAAGCAATTTCGCATAAGGCCTTTTGGATGATGTTAGCAATCTAGTGGCATGTTTAAGATTACGCAAGCTTATGTTTTCTTCATAGTAAAACCAGTTGTAAGTCAGCGATTGGCCTGTCCAGTTTCTTTGACTCGTCCTTCGTTTTTTTTTTTGTTTTTTTTTTTTCGCGCTGTTTTTATTTAAAATGTTCAGCAACTTGAGATAATGGTAAGATAACCGAGAACGTTAAAATACGTTCCTTTAGCCTAGTCGCGGATTATTGGACATCTTGGTTAACTTTCGCCAGCACCTGCACTGTTACCAGGGGTGGGCAAGATACTTCGAAATTGTATCTTCGATACCGATACTCGATACCCTCGAAAATTGTATTTGAGATACCGATACAAGATACAGATGCAAAACTAATCTCCGATACAGATAATGAATACTGTATTTTAGATACCTCGATACATCGCTAAAACCTCATTCGAAGTACTTTAAAATGGGTGTATCTTATTGCTTTAGATTAATTAACAAAGGTATTAGTTGAATTCTTGTGTTTGTTATATTGCGTCTTTTTTTCGAACGTTTACACAAACGTACAATCCTCCGTAAAACTATTGCAGCCAAGAGAGCAGCGAGGTATAAAGATACACGCTATTTCAAATCCACAGAATCTACCAAACCAAAACGTTCTATCTATAATTGAGTTTTAGTCTCCGCAAGTTTTTTTCAGAAACACAGACTATGTGGTGTTAACGAGTTATAGTAGATCGTGTTTTCAGGGAAAGATATTTGTACTGGGAGCTCGCGCTGCCACATCGAAGCATGCTCTGAAGCGCGCGCATGGAGTGGTATCGATCCAATGAAAACGATATACTGAAACTCCTTACTGTCGCTGTCGGGGGCTGAAGCTCGAAAAACAAATACAGGCATTGAAAGAATCAGGAGAGCGTGTTGGTTAAACATTCATGAGGAGGATTTAGAACGCAAGTAAGAAGAAGGGACACACAGAAATATGAGACAGACATGGCAGTCGGTGTCTGTCTCGTTTTCATATTAGTCCCTTGAGTTTACTTCCGTTCTGAATCCTCAAGAAATGACAGACACTTTTAGATAGACGTACAAGTAGGCAGCAATTTAGCACCATGTTTTGCGTCTTTTCGTTCTGGTCGCTTTATTGTGATAGTGTCGCGCAAGAGCTTGCTGCCGTTTTTGCCGCCCTGGCGTTTGAAAAACCTTTCGGTCACGATGGCACCCGTGGGACCGCAGCCTTAAGCAGAAGCATTTGCTCAAAACGCCGGTCTGAAAGTCTGCCACGATGCGGGCGTAAGATTAGCGAAGCGAAGGAGAACAGCCGTTCTACAGGAGCCGAGGAGCACGTTGGGCTGTTGTATCTAATGAAGGCGCTTCTCAGAGAAGGGTATGAGCGGAGCATATCGAATTCAACTCGAGGATCTTGCAGGTAGCTCAGGAACTCAAGTTTGACTTGATCTTCCTGACAACTGGGGCTCGTGCCGCAGTGGGCTTCAAAAGAAAAGAATGCATCAGCCGATACGTCAGAGGCTGCAGAGGTTGATGGCGCGCACGCCAAAGGACGCGTGGTATGCTTGGTTGCATTTACAAAGTCAATTACAGCTTTTTCTGTGAGTTGCTGGCCATGCTCGCGGACATCTTGAGGTTCTCGTGACAACCACCGCAACTTAAAGTAAGGGTGAAGAACGGCAGCAACAGTCGCTTCATTTGCACTTGGTTTCATTCGCAGAAGCTCGTCAAATCTGCGAATGAACCCAGATGTAACCGCATCCAAAAGTGGTCTGCAGTAGACGAAGTCCATACCAGCCTTCTCCTGAAGCTTTGATTTTACGGTAAAAAGCGTTGGCAGCAGCTCCCCGAAGAAGCAATCGGACTGCGCTTGGAGTCGCGTCAGAGCGGAGGCGATGGGCTGCAGGATCTCACAGTACTCGGCAATAAATGCTAAGTCTCTTTCTTGGAATGTCTGCAGATTTAGTCCATCGCAGACATCTCGCAGTTTATCCTTCGAGCGAAGGAGGTCTTTCATGCTGTCATACAATGAATTCCAGCGTGTTACGCATGGCGTCTTCAGAGAATGCCCTAGGATGTCCACAATAACTTCAGACGACTTGGGTCTTCGAACGCAGTTCCATAGAGCCGAACACTTTGACATGACCGATGTGTTAGCACGTTCAAAGGACGGTGTCGACAAGGCTGCCTTCGCATCTGAAGTTGCCACAAGACTCAGCGTGTGACATGCGCATCGAAGATGACGAGGCAAGTTGATTTCAGCATCGTCCAGGTTGTCGGGTTCGACCATAATTTCAAAGGACAAGTCGGCGGCGACATCATCTGCCAGTTAAAAAAGGAACACATTTAGCCGAAATACTTAAAACAGCACTCAAGATTACATTTTTGGAAACATTTTACGGTGAATAACACATATTCATAGAAACTAAAAGAAAAACAGTTGTGCAATAATCAAACACACTCTCGTTTGAATTAGCTCCAGTGGCTTCATCTTCAATTATTTGTATTGCGTATCAAAAGAAGAATTATATGTATCACAAAAATTAACCAAGTCAGCTGCACCAGACAAGAGGAAAATTAGAATGGGTGCATAACATGACGGATATTTTTCACACTTCTTGCATTTGTAATCGCACGTTACCCACTTGGGTTTAGGTTATTGAGACAGACATAAATCAGTCCTTAAAAAATCTGAAAAAAAATGTTTGATAATAAGTACAGCATTACCCTTACCCTGGTCAGTAATCTCAGAACAAAAGCCGAACTCCCTGAAGGCTTTGGCGAAGTTGCTGGCGTTGTCTGTGACCGTGGCTACGACCTTCTCCCGCGAGATGTCGAAGGACTGCCTAATGTCTTCCAGCATTTCTGCTATCCTGTCGTACGTGTGGCTTCCAGGAAACCTCCTGCAGGCCAGTGCGAGCGACCTCCGAGAAAGGGTGTCAGCGTCGATCTAAATAAATATACAAATATTATCATTCATTAGTTACTTAATCATGATTTTCCACAACTTCTACTTTTTAATACAGAATATGTTATAGGAATGGCCTCAGGCACTTCCGGCGACGCCTTCTAGGTAACGAAGGTGCGGAACACGAAAATTGAAATATAAAAGACACCGGCAGCGCTCCGATACGAACCAGCGTCCCTCAGATTATGAATCCGATGTCTTAAACACTGAACTACTAGGGACTTTTTTACGAATCTCTGACCCTCATACTGTGAATCCGATGTCTTAACCACTGTACTACCGCTCTATGAGGAAACCATATGCTTCGATTCACCTTATACGTGGGCGAAGCATAAAATCTACGTGACCTACGCGTTCCACTCCCGCTCGAGCGCTACTTATGGCAGGGCTTTCTTCCGGAGACGCTGTTTCCAGCAAGCTGATGGAAGCTCCCCAAAATAATGCGTACACATTCTGTGTTACCACTGCCTTTGCCACGGTAGTGAAGGAAAGGGACACATTTTGTTTTATTCAAAACACAAAGCGCTTACCCAATGAACCGTGACACCCATGAAGCTACGATGGTGGGTGGACCAGATGTCAGCTGTGGTTGCAACATAGCTTTGACCAGACAACTTCTCTCGCGCGTCATCCAGAAACGTTTCCCATTCCTCATCAATTCGCCGACCTAGGGAGCGTCGCGACATCACACTAGTCCCTGGGCGCAAGCCTAAAATAGAAAAAGAGACAATGTACAATTATAATGCAGTCTGATTTCGCATAGAATTGAAAGCTCACCTGTTACAAGCTGTATGAAGCCTGGCCCTTCGACTGTCGATAATGAATGCAACCCATCCACAACGAACTTGACGATCAGATTGTCTACTTTAGGCTGAGTCAGTTGACTTCCGGGAGAGCAAAACAGTTTCGTTTGGCGCATTTTGTCAGCAGGGGCGTCGGCCTTTCTCTTGACTGCTTGTGTTCTCCACCCTTCTTTGTACTCATCGAACCTTCTTAGCTCTTGTGGATGCACGTGCTGAAACAAAATAAGTATCGATTGATTATATAGCCGCCACACAAGTAATATCACACAAAGCGTACTTCCGTAAGCTATGCAAATGCACCGTTTTGATACATAAGACAGCACTGAAAAATTAGATACATATAGATACACTCTGTTCGACTCAATGCATTTCTTGGCATGTTACAAGCAAACAAAAAATCTAATTTATGTTGATTCTGCACCTACCTTTAAGTGAAGCTTGAAATTCGAGGTTGACGAGTAGGCGCCAGAGATGGTCGCTTTACAAAACGAACAGGCAGCCTTTACTCTGTCGTCCCTAGATGAAATCACGGTAAAATACTTCCCGTCCAAGATGGCACAGCGAGGAGTATTGTCGTTGTCTCGACGCGGCGGAACAAATAACTTTCAACTCCAAGACTGGGACTGCGAAGTGCGCACCATACAGCCGGAAATATCAAGTGAAGTTCCGCGGAAAAGAAAACCAGGGACAGAGCTCAGCCTAGCCGCCTAGCGTTTTGCAGACGGCGCCCTCCTGTCTGGCTCCTGTAGTGCTCTGGGCGGCCGTGCAACCCGGGTTTGCTATAGACACACACAAAAAAAAGGACAATGAGCGTACAGAGATTGCGAAACCGCTCGACTTTCTTTCGATCGTGTTTCTTTGTTTGTTGTTTTAGCCGCGGACACAAGACTTGTTTACTTGATGTCGTCTTTTCGGAGGCCTTCTATGCTCTAGCTTCCCCTGAACAAGAGTGAAAGAAAACGCAGCTTCGATTTAGAAGCGCACTTTTGCAGGTGATGTATCGGGTATTTTTACAATACACGATACTTTCAAAAAGTATCTTCGATACCGATACTTCGATACATGTTTTTCTGGCAAGCGATACCAGATACAAGATACTCAACTGTATCGAAAGATAGTATCGAAGATACATATATCTTCGATACTGCCCAGCTCTGACTGTTACTGCGTTTTTCTTGAAGCTAGTTGTATCAGAGATGTTGGCATCGCTCTATTCATTTGCGTTTGAGACAACTTTGCTTATTATCTGAAGTGACGGCAGAATTGGTTGTTTAGACTACATGTACCTTCCAAGAAAATTCAAGGAGACCTTGCAGCGAGGGGAAAGGCTACTTTTAAAAATCTCTGCATGCAACACTGCGCGCGGGAGAGAAGTGGCATGGTTTCGATTTCGACGACGAAGTAGTGCATCTGAGCACAGCATGAAACCGAACCCAGCGCTCGCTTGCATTGTACCCTTTCGCCTTCGTGATATCCCCCGTTGAAACACGGATGGCCAGCGGCCGTAAGGACCTGGCTTAGAGAGAAGTAGGAGTACGGCCGGCCGCGTCCCATACCTTTCTGGCAGCTTGGTACCAGACCAGAGTGCAGCAAGACTCTCCGGGCTTACGAAACATTTAAGACGCCCATTGAGGAGAAGATGAAGCAGGATGACCGGCCCTGTATACGCCTTATATGTGCCTTCGTAGTCCTGCTTACATCTGCACAAGCTCTGGCACATCGAACAATATCTCTCTCTCTCCCCCCCCTCCCCCCCTCCCCCCCCCCCCCCCCCACACACACACAAAAAAAAAAGTGTCTTAGCATTTGAATTTTAGTTGGGGGCAGCACCTACAGTATTATAATTTTAGGGAAAGTTTCCTTTTCGAAAATGCAAGCACTGTACTTTGTCGTGGGTTGGCGAATCGAAACCGAAGCTCTGGCCAAGGGGTTCCCAAGATGCTTTGTACGGCACTACGTCGCTAGGATCACTTCGATTTTGCGAGAGTTCTATTGTGGTACTGTTCTGATGTATGTTCGTGCCGACTCTGATACACTTCCGTGCCGATACGCTTCGTATATCCTGGAAGTGGCACAGTTAATTGTCTTTTATCATTAGAAGCTCAAAGCGCACAAAGGAAATAAAGTGAACACGAGATAAGGTCATCCCATACTTTGTTTTGCTTTCCTTCTGCCTTCTTTGCGTTTTTAAATCACAGAATGGTAAATCAACGTCAACGTCACCTTCGTTTTCGATTCCTGGAGAATCTCACGTGCCGTACATCGGAACCCAATAATGCGTCAAACAGACGGTAGGGGTACCGCATATCAGCACGTTTTGATTGTATCCACTATACGGGTAGGATGTGTATGAATATGCTAAACTGTTTATGTTGACGATGTAGATTTTGCTCCTGATGTAATGGATGAGGCAGGTCTTCGAGAAAGGGGAATAAAAGGGCCTTAATTCCTTCTACTCACCTGATGTCTGGGGCCTTCTACCAAAAGTCTATATCGATGAGACGAAAGAAACGAAAGAAGCAGAAGTAGTTATGTTGTTTCAATAAAGTGACTGGAGATGGCACTCGATTTAATAACCGTCTCGAGCCAGCTGTCCAGGTTGTCGTTCCCCCTGTACAGACCGTCTGGTTATATACCCTGCCGTGTATGAAAACTATTGTCAATTACTTGACAAGAAACGACGAATTCTATTGAAAATGCTATTTGAAATCCGTGAGAAATCAGTCCGATCCAGATGTATTCTGTTTCACTTTAAGCTTGATTGGACATGAGAGCAAAGAATTTGGGGACGCACACGGAAAGAAACGAGCGGCAGGCACAGAGAGAGCGCGGGAATAGGATGAAAATCATGTTTGAATGATCCTGCTTGCTTTTATGGTATTCACAACTTTCAGCGATCATGGTACCGCGGTGTGACCATTGCGCACCATAGTTCCGAGGTGATCGGCTTCACAATAAAGGTTGTTGCTACACCTTCAAGACGTGCAAAAAATAAAGTAAGGCTTTAATACTTCTCATATATAACAAAACCAGAATTACTTACGCGTCGGAGACTCAGCCTCGTTCTGCCGTTCTACGATGATCATCCAGGTGACAGCCATTTTGACGGGCGTCAGTGCGCCCCTTATCGGTCGTGAAAGTTGCGAATACGCCCCAGTGCCCATATGCTACTGCTAGTGTAAATAGGCGCGTCCTTTGGCTTCAAATGTCCTTCACACTTGATGCGCGATTCACGTCTGCTTGATTCGACGGATGACAGAGTCACGTTTGGGAATATTGGTCCGCATTCTGGAACCGGTTTTTGCAATAACATCCGGATATCGGAACCCGTGAGAACCCCATTCTCGGTATTGAAAGGACGAGATCTACGAAACGTACGAAGCTGTTACGACCCTCGAGTGCCGTGCTTTCACATAAGGGCCGCGGAATTCAGATCTCTGTACAGCGGACGTCACGATCAATGCATGCACGAGGCCATTGTGAGCACCATACAAATTCTGTCAATACCATCGTTGTAACGCGGCTTGTATAGGCGCGCCTTTGGGTATTCGCCGGTTTCTTCCCGTTTTGCTTACCCACTAAAGTGCTTTCTTTCAAAGTTTTATGCGGGATATCATCTTGTCCTCTTTTTTTTTTTTTTTGTGTGTGTATGATTCGTCTTGCTGCGTCAGTCAAAGGGCTTCACAACGAGGCCGTTTTATTTTCGTTGTGAAGTAACAGGTTATAGTTTAGAATTTGGGCACCGAATGGTTTTGTGCTGTACAGTAGACATCAGGACCGGCTTCCTAGAAACAGAGTCCTACCTAATAGTGTGCCGAAGAAAGCACTGCCAAAGCTAATGCTCAAGCGGAGTGGTAGCATCTACAGCGGAGACACCAAACGCCCATTGCTGCTAATTTCACGTTGTCGATACAAACACACCGCACAATTTACTTAAAGTCAAGTCTCAAGTGCTGGCGCGCCCGAGGCTTGGCTGGCTCTTTTTCATGCAGTCTTAGCTAAGACACTGTTTCTAGCAAACCCGATTCGTGGTCGTCGAGCTCATACCACATAGTATATTGTTTAATATAAATAATGATAACAATGACGAGTGTCTTCTTTCTTTGTGGTCCGCAGGAGATGGCCACGGCAAGTCCTCGGTCTTCAGCCGCTGGTTCCGGAGAAGTCGATCGGAGAAGCGGTCCGAAGCGTCCGTGGCCTCGGCGGCGGGCTCGTCTTCGGCCAAGAAGCAGCTGTCCACCTTCTCGGCCCAGTTTCCGCCGCTGGAGTGGAACGACCCGGACTACGTGCACTACCACTCCAGGGCCACCCAGACGGTCCAGCCGGACGTCCAGCCGTACGCCGTGCTCAAGGTATGCATCCAACTCCTGTGTCGCGCCTCCTCTATCCTCCCCAAACGTCATCACAAGTGAATCCACGCAGCGCCGTCTGCCTTGTACCAGCGTCGTCGATAGAGCAGCGTCTCTCAACGAGCGCCACGTTAGCACGTCTGCCACTTTTGCGACGGCTGTCGTCGAGCTTCAGCGTGTTTGCCGCTAGGGGCGGGTCGGGGTTCCTATGACGTGATGCGTAAATCCTGTCTTCTAGATTGTGTTGCATGAGCCCCATTCATATGCGGAGAGCATGTCGTCTGCTTCTTGCACAGGAGTTGCGGTGACGTCAGAACGACGCCGAGCTCTCATTGGATTTGATTGAAAGGATGGTGGGTAGACCTCAATGCTAGATGCCTTGAGGTCTAGCCACTATTTTTTTTTTTTTTTTGTTTCAATATGCCAATAAGAGCTTGGCGTTTTGACATCATCGCAACAATTGTGCGAGAAGCAGACGAACTTGCGCTCCGCTTAGGCGCGTAGCCTGTTTACGCGAGGCATGCTAAATTTAAACTTGATTGAGAAGAGAAAAAAACACCTAGTTTGTTTTTATTTGCCGACCACAATAGGTTTTCCGGATGGTTGCATACGGCATGTTGAATACTTTAATGAATGAATGATGGATGGATGGATACGGATGAACCATTTTGATCGGGTCACCTAGTCAAAGTTTCTGCTCTCGACAGTTAACTAATCTCCGATTAAGTTCGGAACGAATGAAGAATGGGAAATGAAGTCATATCTCTGCTAAGCATTCATTTAACGTACTTCACAACCGAAAGTTACAATCCGTGTGACGATGGTGCCGTTATGACCTACGGTCATACGAGTTGCAAAGAAAACTTTAACAAAAATGTATTCTTCCCTCGACTTGTGCCACCAGTCTCATAACCTGTGCTTGTTAATCTCCGCTTTCCCTTCGACTATTTTTTTTCCGTCGCTGCTTTTAAAACCCAAGGCCTTTACGAAACCGGCGACTTGCGCCACTTAGCAGTGGACGGACAGATTTCTCGAGTCACGTGTCACCACTTTCTTCGAAACCTCTGAAAGAGAGCTCTGTCAAAATTAAGCTTCGAGCGGGGTTGCACGTCAAGATGGCGTACCTGGGCTCAGATGCCCCAGTCTCCTCCCCGCTAATTCTCCGGCCCCCGTTTCCTCCGAAGCACGTGCAAGCATCGAAATTCATGTGGAACTAGAGCTCGCGCTTCCGCAGACTTTTTTCTCAGCAAAGGGACGTTACCTATACTTCATTTCACCACACGTCAGTTCGCAGTCGTCAAAGGCTCGAAGGCATATGAACACAAAACCTCAATGACACCCCGCATTCTCTCTCCATGATTGGTTTAGCCGGTCATATAGCTCAGGCACAGAAAGACGACGAACGAACACCATGACATTGCGCTTTTGGCGCTTTTTGATTGGACACACTAGCTCGCAGAGCGAGCTCAACTCTGCAGGAAGTACAGAAATCAGAGCGTTCCTACCACCACTGCTTCTATTTTCTCAAAGCTTTTTTTTTTTCTTTTTCTCATTATCGGTCTATGGAACATTTTTGGGGCGTGGCCCAACTGATTACGTGTATGTGGCTGTATTTTTATTACCTACGGTTTCTCGGCAAGGGAAGAAGTACGGCAAAACCTCGTGCACGGATGACTTCCACTCCACACGTTACATAGCCCTATCGTGACTCACAGCGATCTTGTGATCTTGTATGACTCCACAAAAACGAAAAACAAGGTGTTTTTTTTTTGTTTTGTTTTTTCTTGAATATAGATGTTGGGTGAATCGGGGTCTGAGCGTGTTACGCTCGAGGACAGATTTCCGACACATTTCAGAAAGAGAAGGGGAGTGCGCGTGCGCAGATTTAATGCTGGTTGTGAACGGGTGCGCTCAGATTGCTCGATCGCACGCGTTCCCGTGCCTTTGTCTGCATTGCTACAGAGAGTTGACCCCTTGTATATCGCACCGCAGCCAATATAGAGTTCTAGAATAGGGGGCCCCAACGCTTCGGGTCACGAGAGCGAGTCGTCTGCTTCTTGCGCAGGAGTTGCGGTGACGTCATAACGACGCCGAGCTCGGATTGGCTTTGATTGAAAAGACAGCGGGTAAACCTCAATGCCAGATCCCTCAAAGTCTCACTATTTTTTTTCTTTCAATCAGCCAATAGAAGCCCTGCGTCCTGACATCATCGCAACCTCTGCGCAAGAAACAGACGAACTTGCGCTCCGCATAGGTCACCCGAGCAGCTCGGGGCGTCTCACTCAGCAAGCGCAGAGGACATGCGCATGCGTACTGCGACGCTCCAAGCAGTAGACCTTTCTAGTCCCAACTGAAGCGCTGAATATTCCTGATTGATTCTGGGCTCAATCATCTTCGCTGTTGATTTCCATATGAGAAGTACCAGCGTGCGTTCTCGTGATCACTAGTATACGTGACGCACGTTAGATACATCTAGTTAGCAGTAGCACCCCAGAACTATTTTGAGTCAGGATTATTCACCACTATTCAAACTTCCATGCAACAAATTTGACGTTTAATAGAGAGAGAAAGAGAGAGAGAGAAAAATGGGAAAAGAAGGGGGGGGGGGGGCAATTCGGTAGCAGATTGTGATACCTAAGATACTGAAGCTCGGCAGCACGTAGAGCGAGATGCACAAATTGTAATTCTTGTTGGTTTTCGCATTTGGTTTTCATCTGCGGTCTTCAGTGCCAGCTGTAGAGGAAGTGGCTTATTGTATGTGATGCACAGTAATTGTGGTGATGGAAATTGAATGAACATGGTGCAAGCTCGCTGCCACGAAGCACGCGCTCAACCTGCTGGTCTGGGGTTAAACACTCCAAACCAGCAGTGCATGGTACCGCACCTGCTAAATTCATCATCTATAGCGAGGACACCCGACGTCCACTCACGCCGACTTCCCGTTGTCTAAGCGTACACACAACGCAATTACTTGTTATTTCCGAAAGTGAGACTAGGCGCTATCGCTTCCTTCTAAATCTCTCTTACCACTCCGTATCTGGTGTAGTCCTGCAGTGCCCTGATGTCTGTTATAACTGCATTCCTGTTGCGTTTGCCAGTTGAACACATTTCACGCTCACTGAGAAATTCTGTTTCTTCGTTCATCCATACTCCTGGGTGCGTGCTAGCACTTATCCACGCTCTCAACCGTGAATTCCCGTATCTTTCGCTCTTCAGCCCCAAAATGTCATTAAAGGGCATGATTGCCGATTTGCCACTAGTGAATTCCAGAAATTGCCTGTGTCCTACTGTGCCACAGTTGCTCACTGCAAATCTAGCTTCGAAAACAGTAAAGGTTACGGGCCCGGCGAGCCAATAGCAACGAAGCGCGTTGCACGTGACAAACAGGACTATAGTTCACAGATGGTACGTTATCACGATCCCCGCTCCAACGCTCTGATTGGATGGACCGTGGCTTTAGCGTTCGCTCTCTGACAGATTACGTTAAAACAAAGTATATGCAACCTCGTTTTATCTCTGTTGGTTTTGTCGCATTTTCTGTAAGTGTACCTATACCCCACCCCCTTCTTCTCCTCTTTCTGGCAATCGTTAAAGGCGGCTGCTTTGTGAACTTTAGTGAATAAAGATGGCGCTAAAGTCAACTGGTGGCGACAGTTTAAATCAATGGAAGGCTGATTTTCCGGAACTTTCCCACTGTACATTTCACTTTTATTAATTCTTTTTTTTTTTTTAGGCTCTGTTTTTGTGGTTTTTTGCTTATAAACGTTTCTTTATATTTCTGGTCAAGAGTACGCGCTAGCATCCCCAGCAAGCCACATGTAAAAGGTGTGCCCCCCCCCCCCCCCCAAAAAAAAGAAAACAAAAACAAATTACAGTTTTTTTTTTACTGGAAAAATAAACTGCGCTTTACGGAACGCTCATTCTCTACCCATGATGTAGCCCTAGTGCTCTGAACCAAATATCGCATTTTCAGAACTAACCGTAATATTATTAAAAGTTATAGCCGATTTTCTGAAATTTTCGATGGGAAAATGACGGCTGATGGACCTGTTATAAATTACAATACATGCAGCTGAATGGCGCCAGTTGCCGAAAACGGGCCCCATTTTCCCATTGAAATTTTCAGAAAATCACGCGTAACTTTTGCCACTGAGATAACGCTTAGTTCTGAGACATTGGCATCTAGTTAAAACCGCTAGCGCTACATTTGGGCGGAGAATGAGCGTTCGGCGATGCGTAGTTTATTTTTGCAATAAAAAATTCACTGTAATTTTATTTATCTTTTAGGGGGGGGGGGGGGGGGGGGCACACAGACGCTGCACTTGTCTAACACGTTATAATATTATTTTCTCTAAGTAGACGACCAACAAAGACAAAGAAATGGTTAAATGTTAAAACTACCATTAAATGGGAGAGTGTGCTGATCATATTTTAGGCGATTCTAAAGACAGAAACAAAAACGTTTGCGTCGCCGTACAAGTAAGGGTATACGACCAACTTCCTCCAGTACATTAATCACGATGCTTCGCGAGACGGCTCATCTTAACATGCACGTTAACGTACCCCAGTGTCCGCAACTGTACGCTTTTGTCTTGCACAGTATATGTCAGCGTATACCACCAAGAGCACGATAGCCAAATTGGCTTCGCGCGCTTCTGAGAGAGATTGCCGTGCGGTTGCACGCGATCGAAGACGAGAATAGCCGCGCTGAGAAGACAGACGGTCCCCTACGTGCGGTTACGCGCCTGAGTAATGAACGCAAACAAAGCTCTACTTCACTCGCACCCAGATACCGTACTTGCGCTATACGCCAGAAGCGCCTCTGACTGATCCGCAGCCCGTTGCAGCTCGCGACAGGGTTTGAGGGTGAATTAGCTTCACCCCGAGCCGAGGACTTTATTAACCAGGCGACCGACTTTCGCCGCTGCTCGCGCTGTCCGCGCCAGCATCCTAATTGCTCGTTGACCCGTTCAGGTCGCGGCCACAATGGCACGATATTTCAC